CCCCAAAACCCCAAAACCCCGCTTATCAAAAGAAGTAATTAAAATTCATATGTAATTCAAATGTATTAAGAATGATGATAAGTGTATAGTTTTCAAATAAATCATTGATTGGGCTTCATATTGTTGTTATTACTTGTCAAGTTTTCACGCTACTTTAGATTGTTTATATTTCTAGTACGAAGACCTTTACCCAAATTTTCACTAGACTTATTATTGAATGATGTTTTAGTCAAGCTAAGATTAGGTTTAAATGTACATTAATTTCTACTTTTTTCAAATTCTATCTCCATAGTTTTTTTATCCTCCTTCCTTTGCTTCATAATCTTATAAAGAGATTCATGCACACCACTTAGCTCTTTTTGATCAGGACTCTTCCTTCTTTCTAGCAAATGTAAATTAGTTGTCTTATTTTGAGCCTTAGCTGCACCCTTCCATTCTTTAGTTTGAGGTTTAAATGTACAACCCAGAGTTTCAATCTATTTAAAACTTTCTCTTTATTTATCTACTTTTTATTTGTATATCTAACCCTTTGATAAAAGCAGATCAGCATGGCCACTAAGTCTTTTATCCCCTTTCTCTAGTTCTTCATGAATCTTTTTTATTTAAATTGCAGCCATTTTCAATGACTTTTAACTCAGTGAAGGATTGAAGAAATCCTTTAATTGCTATTTCAACTTTTCTTTAGTGATAAGATTCCTATCTTCATTAACTTTTGCTTGATGATTAGTTAATAGCCTTTTGAATATATTTCTAATCTAATCTCCTTGTTTATTGTTCAGAATGAAGAACTGATTGTCTTTTGAAATATATCCAAATGAATTAATCCTATCAGCATGATCTATACTTTATGTGTCTTCTTTGAATTAAGGATCTTGAACATAAGCATAATGTAGTATACATAAAAACGAATACAGATTAATCATACTAACACCTTCTTTTTGCTACTCTTAAGGCATTTGATATTTAGCTTTTAAAGCGTTCCATATATCTAATACCATCTACTTTTCCTCATCAGTTTCAGTTAACTCAACCAGAAGTTTCTTAGAATAATTAAGTTTTTACAATAAAAGGGTCAGTTAATGATAGTTTAGGACATCTGAATCCTTTAAACATAGGATCTGGTAGATTTTACTTAATTCTTTAGATATTTTCTACCTCAGAAGAGCTTAATTATGTTGATATCTCTTTGGTGAAAAGGAAATTCTAGAGTTTAAACTTAAATCATGTATTTCTCTATCTTTTTACTCATTCAAAGCATTAAGTTTCAAAGATTTGTTACTTCCATCTCTATAAAGCTTATCTATTTTTTCAATGTCTAACTTCCTTCTTTTAAGAATAGAGGATTAATCATTTTGAATTACTGAAACATTAACTAGGTTCGACTGAGATCTGTTAAGTTATTTTTTCTAGCCTAATGTATATAATCTTTCAAATACTTCAAAAGATGAGTCATGCTTATTTTCGCCTGGTGAAAAGAATAGATGGCCTTTTCCCTAGCTATTATTGAAAAATGAATTTCTATTCTTGCTCAAACTAGATTCTTGATCTTCTTTCTATTTTCTCAATTCTTCAACTTTTTTTTCTTTAGCTAATTTAAAATTAAGCATTTAAGAGTAGAACTAGTCAGGACTTCTATTCCTAGAGTTACTTGAATTTTGAGAACCTTTTCTTTTCAGTGAGATAAGATTTGGCTAGAATGTGCAATTTTTTGAAAATTCATCCTCCTCTTTCATTGTCTTTACTAATAATAATTTTTCTTACTTCTCTTTTAAGTAGTTGCTCTCTTGATATAGAGTATTATGGAGATTTATCTTGCTGCCTGAAGATCTATTTTATGATGTATGTTCCTTCTCTTTATACTTCTTAAGATCTTTATCAGATAGTAATAGCATCTAAATATTTCCCCCTTGACCGTTTTACAAATTGGTGATGAAATCTTTAGTCATCTTCTGATACTAAACCTCAAAACTAGATTTTTCTCTTAACACACCTCCTGCATTATTATAACTTTAACTCCCATCATCATTGTCAATAATTGGTCCAAGGTCATCGTCTATCTCTCCTAGTTTTTATTATACTCTTGTCTCATGCATATTGACTACTGCTCTCTACTGTTATTGAGTTTGTTTTTTTGTCATATTAGTTTCCATGCTTTATTAATTTTATTAAGTAATTTAATTTTGATTCCTTGATCCTAATATAGATTCTCTGTCAAGTTAATTAAAAGCTAGATTTAAGCCTGAGAAATTTGTCATGTTTTCAGTCACAAAATCATTATTATTTAGATAGCTTTCTCTATCGTCGAGAATCCCCAAGCCATTGTTGGTGGGATTTGTTATCATTACAGTAGATAATGGAGTATAAGATCCATTTTAAGTATAGTTGATTTCCTTAAAAATACTCACATCAAGTTAATTAGGTTGTCTAACAGAGGACTCTTAATTGACCTTACTTTTAATAAGTGAACTAACACGTTTATGATTATGCAGCTCTATATTTTCATTTTATCGCACTCCTCTGGCAATATTTTAACCTATTTTATAATTCACTGGAGATCTTGATTTGAAGGTCTTGTTGCCACTTCTATCGAAGTTTTTGTTAATCATATTTCTAGAATTTGATTTCTGCTTTAAATCAATAAAGCTCTTGCCTTTCTCTATAAAATTCTATGTCTTATTATTAACAGCAAAGGGCAGAGTTTAAGTCTATGAATTATTTACAATCTTAGGATTTCGAGATTTTGCATTAAGAGGCTGTTTAATTGTCTCTATAGAGTTAGTATTCTAATGTTTTAAGGAACTAAGCTAATCTTTCTCTGAATACAGATAAAAATTTTTCTTTTTAATATCGATGCTATTGGATGTTTAATGATGAGATTCTTGCTGATATTAAAGAAACAAATTATTTACCAAATTATCCGAGTCTATATTTAGTTATTAAAAAAGTTATTACCTTTTTAATCATCTTTTTCCACTGTAGCTGATTCAAAGTTTACAATAGAGTCTGAAACCTAATGAGAATCGAAATGATCATCATCATTAACATAAGCATCAAGAGGCTGATTCATGTCAAAACTTTGAAATCCCAATTACTATGAAGTAATCACATGCTCATTTGATTTCTGCGTTAAATTTCTATATAATCCGTGCTTGGGTTGATGATTCCTGCTGGTTTAAATAGTTGCCATTGACAAAATTAAGATTTTATTATTCCGTTATTTATCCTTTAATTTTAGTAAAAATTTATCGTTCCAAATACTTTACTCATGGGGTTTTGGGGTTTTGGGGTTTTGGGGAGATCGGAAGA